AGATGCATGAATCGGTCATACACGGTAATTCTTTCCCTTGGAGGAGAGTTAGCTCTCTCGTTCCCTAATGGGGTTCTCGCCTCTAGAGCTGAAGGGAGGTCATATTTGGATCTAAAGTTTTTCACCTTATCAATTGAACCTATGGTGATACAAAGTCTAGAACAGTCTTTCCTTCGGAATCCCTAACCATAATTCTGGCAAGAATCTACTTGGGATACAACAGAGAAGGACAAAAGCTAGGAACAAATCGGAAATTCAGATCTAGAAACTTACTATGGAAGGAGGACGTGACCACTCGCCTTTCGAATTGTAACTCCCCAGTGTTATTCAGAAGCTCCAATTAGCAACTTCCCTAGAAACAGTGTCGCTGGGGCAGTGTCTCAGGCGAAAGCTTGAAAAATTCCGGCTCAAAAAAGGAGTTAGGATGCTCTGGCAAAGAAAAAACTTTTTAAGGGGCTGGAGTGTTTTAGCAGAGGAGAGAATTTTGAGTTGTTTGCAAAGAAGGAAAAATGATGAAGTGCAAAAAGGGGTAGTAAAACAAATTCGTCCTCCCACGTTCCTCTAATTATGGACCACGATATGACAGTTATTGCGGATTTCAAAGAAGTAATGATGTTGAGGCCGCCATTTGGGGAACGTGCCCACTAATAACGCACAATTGAAAATTTGAGCGGGATTGGGAAACGGGTCGTCTTCCCGGGTCACGGCATGACCCGCCAGTTCCTCTCGATCCTCCGAGATCGAGGGTCATGCGTTAGCATCGAGCTCGTCAGGCATGTGCCTCGGCAATTAGCTAGACGAGGGCGGTCTGTCCATTCTAGAGCATGTCCCAGGTAACGCTTATTTCATGCCAAGCGTTGTTTGTTTCTACGTCCCTAACACTTAGCAGGGGCACTTGACGAGTCCAGATCCATCACCGAGACTGTACTGGCCCACCCAACGTAGGAAGAGTCCAACTAGAACCCTAAGGGTGGTGTAAATTCCTAAAACCTAGTTGGATTCGGAAATTGTCCAGGTAATCTCATACCTATAAATAAGGTAGCTCATACCACAATTCAGGTACGCGATCTATAGCTAAACAAACTACCTTCCTAAACCTTCGAGCAACCTTGTTACTGACTTAAGCATCAGAGTGTGTACCCTCGGGAGGTCCCGAGGCTGTGTTTTGCAGGAAACCCTAATCAGAGTTCCACCGTTAAACCGGCGGCGCACATCCAAGCATCGTCAGGCGGCAAAGTCTAATTAACACATAATCCACATCAAGGAAAAAGCCGTGTAGCTTTAATAAGTTATTTCTTGTTTAAATGTTATCTCCAAGTATAAGTGTGGAGAGTAGATTATTAAGTAATCAATTTAAAGTGATCAATAAGAGAAATGAGTAACTTGGAACCCATAGATTGTTTTCATTGATGGTTACCACCGAAGTCAAGTACGGCAGACCACTTGATTATTTATAAATCAACTTTGGATAATTCTCGAAACGTGCGATGTACATATCAATTCAATTTTCAATGGTTATGTTATAGGTGTCCTACCCCCCGAAACCAAGGAGCAAAATTGGTTTTGACAGTAAATCATAAAAGAATTTCAAGAATGTAGGTCAGCTTACCAAAATTGATGTAAACTAAAAAGAAAAGAACCAAAAACCTGGACACCATGATGTGGTGGGCATGGTCTATGTTCACCACCTTGGGTGATCAACAAATTTGAGCAGAGGCCATCGAGCCGTTAACGCCTAGACCTTCTATGCAATTCACGGAATTTGTGACTTGATTGTGTGAAATATGATGATCTTAGGCACATGTCGAGGATCCGTGAACCTGGGTTTTGAGAAGCCATGGGCATAACCACGATCGCTCCCGTGCTCGATCGTCCATAATCAATAGCAACGGCACTGGACCTCGTTGGATCCCATGTCTCAGCCAATCTCGTGCCTAGTTGTCATAGATGGAGACTATGGTGTAGCCCTACGACATGACGAGAGTCCTCGAGAGATCATCGAACAGAAATTGATCGCGATTAATTTTAGATAAAAATATAGAACCTGGATATCTCAATTAAACGAAGCTCATGTAGGTAAATTGTCTAGCCTTACCCCCACAACAATGAATTCGTAAACCTACTCATTAGCAACAAATATGTAGCGGCTGATTTACTAAAATTTGGGAGTAAAACTTGAATACTAGCTCGAGAGAAACAATAAGCAGAGTCTTTGAGAGATTAAAGTTTTAGAAAATTTCATCCAAGTCTTATCCAAATTAATCTTAAAATAATTTTCATCGTTTATGCACTCCCAAAATAAAACGAGATTAGAGAGCCCCAAGCATCAGATGAAATGTTATGCAGGCTTTAATTTATGCAACCAATCAAGATCCATCTTTAATTAAAGGGATAGAACCTGGATATGGACTTTGCCAAACGGAAACGTATGGCACCACTCGAGTCTACAAAAATTGTTAAGTCTGATGCATGATGGAATTTGCGTGGCTGCATGTCAATCCTAATTTGATAAATTACATCAAAATTATAAGTAGGAACATAGAACTTGGAGATCCTGGTGTGTAGAAACTAATACTGTTTCCCGTAAATCATCAGCCATGGAAAAGAGGCGTACTATCGTTAGCACCTTCTCAAGAAAATTCGTGAGCGGAAACCCTAACGGTCCCACTGGGCGTGCCACTTGGCAAAGTATGGATTTGCGCCGACGTCTCTAGTTGATTGAACCGACGGCCATAGCAGTATCAAAACTCTAAAACCTGCAAAAGGGGGCCTCGGAGTCTCTCGAGTGTAGGCACTCCGATGCTTAAGTCAGTAAGAGTAATTGTAATGGGGTATAAATTGTGGTGCGTAGAGCGTACCTTTAACCATGAGGGATTGATTCTTATTTATAGAACTAGGTTATGGAACTCTTTCTTGGTAGGAAAGTAATTAGGAACTGACCCAGAAACTTCCAGAGGCCGGTTGGACCTTTTACCGAACTTGGGCCAGCCTAGTCGCGGGCCGTACTAATTTGGACTCGTCATCATCCTTGCGCAAGGGTCATGCTCATCTTCTCTATATCGTTCCAATTTTATTGGAAACATTATCATAGTATTCCGTCAACCTCTCCTTGCACAACTAATGCACAAGAAAAGGAGAGCCAAAACAAAGGGGTGAGCACCGGTCGACTACATAACCTTACCAAAGGATTTATATACACTTTTTGGCGGATGGCAAAGTGTAATATTTTTTCTCTTTTTATTCAGTGAATATGGTGTGATTTTTTTAGGACTTTTGGAGTATTTAAGTCTAAAATAAAAAAGTGAAGGAGATTTTGGATCGGAGAGATGCTTTATGATTAAAAAGTCTTAAAGTCGAACATGTGTTCAATAATTTATTTCTTTAGATTGGAAGCAAATTGGTATCTCGAGAAAAAGATGACATATATCCAAAAGACTAAAGGTCAAGAAAGGGATCAAGATGCCGCCACATTTATTGATTGGTTCGTTGGCCCAAGGTTGCAATAACTTGTCCATGCAAATTGCAAAGGATCGTCCATAATTGTTGTCTAGTTTGAATTTTCATTTTTAATACAATTTCTAGTAAAAGTGAAATTCCAAATTGAATAATAACTAGGTGTTAGACCCGTGCGATGGACGGGGGAACATGTACATATAAACATTACAACACAAGCAAAGTAATAAAAATAACACTATTTCTATGGATTTTGTACTTTTATAAAATGTTAATTATAAATTATACAATTATTTCATTGAAAAATATAAAACACAAACATCAACAATACTTTACAAAATGGTAAAATTTATTTAATGCAAAGAGAATTATTAAAAAAATCTAAAAAAAGGGGAACATAAAAAAGAAAAAATAATTAACTTTGAATTGAATGATTATATGTCCTGCAATACTTCTCTGTGAACGAAATTCATAGTCTTAAATTGACGTTACCACATTCATCGCATATTAGGTTCTTGATTCCTTGTCTCGAAGTGACTATTGATAAGGCAACATATAATTGGTCATGGTTAAAAACTGGACGTGGCAAATAAAATGATTTGTTAATTTAAAGGTGTCAATCGGACGGCCAAATAAACTTAAATGAAAATTATAAAATAGAGATTTAATGGATGAAAATTTCTACCAAATACAATATAAATCATAATTTAGAGAAAATGAAATTATTCAATATTAGATGAATTTTCTATGAAAAACAAAAATGCTAATTATAAATGTATAGTATCTTTTCTATAATGGCTTCATTCATAAAGAAAATATAAAATAGATAAACAAAAACATATGTGATATGGATATTTTCAGCATAATGTGGAATGTTGAGAAAAGGGAAAAAAAAAAGCATTCAACTTCGACTTGAATAATTATATATCTTACAATAATTTAAATCAAAATCATTAAACTTATTTTTAATGACATTCTATGGTAGAATCATTTTTTTCGTTGATTCTAAGATAGGATCATTTGTTTTACCACATTAATAATATCACTAAAGTTATTTGCATATTTAAATTTGATCTCTCTCAACTTGTTTTTAATAATATCCCACAATTACTTTGTAGTGGGTATCTATTTTTGTTTTTCTTAATGATATTACAAATTTACCCTAGGCATTTTTAAATCTAAAAAATTAAGAAAATGCCACATAGGATTTAATCCTATGTAGCATGTGTTTCATGCCTTTAGATTTGTCTCTCTGGTTTTTGCCTTAGTATAGTATATAGATAGATTACGAGACAGATGGAATATTTTATTTCGATAACTTACAATTTGTTTTACTTTATTATAAAAAAGAAAAGTTAAAAATAGAATCAAAAAGTAAATAAATAAAATAATTGTTATATTACTAAAGTTTTGAGTGACAAATCAATTTAAAAAAAAAAAAAAACTCACGGATTCAATTTTTATACTTTACTCTTTTAATATTTTTGTTAATTCACCATTTAGCCTTTAATAAAAACTCAAAGTGTTGAATAGAAAAGTTAACAGTGGTCGAAATTGTCGATTATTTTATTTGTGTTGACTTGGTGTAAAACTATGCTTAACTTTGATGATCAAAAGTGAGTTTTGTCTTTTATTTGAATAGAAAGAGCACAAAATGAAGGAAGTGAATGGTAAAAATTGTACCCACACTTTCAGTTGTCATACCGTCTTTGTTAAATGGACAGCGAATAAGATGGTACATTGGTCTGAAAGACCATATTCCTAACTTGATCAATACTTGAAAGAACGTCTTTATTCAGGAGTGATTTCTAATGAGATCTTCTATCCCAAATTTTTGTGTATTTCCAAGAGCAATCAAATCCGTAGTTTTTCCAACAAACCACCAAAAGAAAAGCTTGTCTTGGACCATCTATTCGCTTCAGGAGCTTTGGCGCTTGCTGGTGCTTTCCTCACATTGAGCATCATAGTTTGTCCGATTTCTTTTCGCAGCCCTTCTATAGTCTTTATGTCTACTGGATTTCCCCAGGCATCTGTCACGTAGAATACGTTGAGCGCTTGAGTGCCTACAGTTTTAACCCCAGCCCTGGAAACAGACAATCCATTTTCGCGGAGAACTCTTGTAACTTCTGAGAGCAGTCCAACTCGATCCTCAGCACAGAGCTCGAGCCTTAAGCCCTGCATCATTGGTCATGTTTCTTTACCATGGAGTACATTACCGATCTATTTCACCGGAAGCTTAATAATGAGATTAGCTGAAAAATATGAGGCAATTAACCACATTAGGTTACTATAAGAAACTGTACCTGCTATAAGTACACTACAACTCATTTTTCTTTCCTTCTTTAGAGTCCAATGTACTCTAGTTACCACAACCAAATTCAAATCTAAACACATGATCATTGCATTTTATTTCATCACAATTGTGTCAGGAAACAACAGGTGACATCTGAGATCACTCGCAAACCTGATACAAAATGGTCTACTTATGCAAGTTTTAAACCCGAGGTAGTCTTTATGTGTGTTCTATTCTGCACCAATTTCGCAAAAATGATGAAGAACTTATGGCAAAATTCCTCTACGGAGAAACCTTTCTAAAGTATATTTTTAACTTAATGCTGAAGCAAAAATCTCAGAAAGCAGCTATCTGTAAGGTCCAGATTTCTCATTAAATAAGTTTCACTGTAACGCAGCTCTAAAACTAACCTATCTACATCTCTAGCTGCTTCATGGTATAGTATGCCAGCGTAAATGTGATCCCTTACCTCACTCACTCTTCGGCTGATTGCAGCTTCAAGACATTTGATAACCCTTTCCTTTTCTTCTGTTGAATCAAGGGTGCATCCATCCATGTGACGGATGTAGTATTCCTACACATTCATGGTACAAACATATTGGAAAAACTTGAGTGGAAGTTTGGCAGTACAATGGCGAATGAAACCAAATGACATTACAGATTCAGACATAAACACTAGCGTGAGATGCTTCATACCTATTTGAAACAATACAACCTCACAACCAGATTGTATTCAGCAAAGAAATCTCATGGAGGAGAGTAGCTTACACAAACAATGTAGTAACCTATATAACATTGTTCAATGCATCACAAAAGGAAAAAGAAATTCTTTGTACCTGTGATGCATTGGGGCCACCAGATGAAATAACAGCATGAAAGACAACATATTGCATATCTGTAAGTGTGCATACGATGTCAAACATGAGCTTTGGCCTGTCTCTGCAGTTTACTGTAACCACTGAATATCCCTTCTCTACACATCGATCAATTATGATTTTTGGTGCACATGAAGGATCATATTCTGTCTCAGTTGATAACAGTCTATTTTCATAATCCCTATCAGCAAACAACATCTGATGGAGTCTGCGATCAACATGGGTGAAATTTGCAGAAAAATTTGTGTGAGCTACATTTTCCCCTTCTTCACATCCATGGAGAATCTTTGTGAGCTGATCTTGCATAGCTGACAACCGGGATGGATCATTTGCAACACGACAAGGACTTTCATCATTGACATAAAGAACACATGCTATTCTTCTGTTATGCGTCCAAACTTCAGCAGCAACAACATTAAAGTTGAGGTTTGCGAGGACAGCAGATATCTCTGATAAAAGACCTGGTCTATCCCTCCCAGTTAACTCTATTGCTGTAAGATCACCCATAGAGTGCACCCCTACCTGCTTACCTTGCCAAGTCTTCAATAAATCCTGTTTGTGGCCCTTGGGACCTAGAGCCTAGAATAACGTTTTCAGTAAGGAAAGTATGAAAAAGAAATAAAAATAAAAGTTTAACTTAAACTTTGCTTTGTTTCTTGATCATGAATTATCTGCCAGAGAGAGATTGTGCTTCAAAAGTCCTTTAAGTTTGCCCTCAGGACTATTAAGGACATTACTTGTTTCCAATGGACTTATCCTAAAACTAAAGCTAAGAATTGATTAAAGAATAGATGTTCACCCGAATTAAAGTTCCTAGTTTCATTGACTTGAATCATAGCTGACTCTATTAAAGAAGCACCTTACTTTAAAACAAATTCTTCCATTACAAACATCCAGAATGTGATTTCTCATAGAAAGTCTCACATATGTCATGGCATTCTAAAATCACCTATTGTTAAGGATTTTCCACAGTAAGAATAAAAGTGTCCATCAATAAACCTGCAGTGCTTCCTTTGATACTGCAGTAATTGTTCACTCTTGGAGCTATACAAAATTTGCTATGTTCCCTGGCCAAGAGAGCTAATTAATTGTTTCTTTCAACCAGAAAAAAAGCACATTAGTTAGGATAGCAACCATACCTTCTCCATATGTTCACGGGTAGTGCTGTCGACAATCTTATTTCCTTGTTGATCAGTGACATGAAATTCTGTCAAGAATGAATATGATTAACAGCTCTACAGATAACATCGCTCACAGAAGAGAGGTTGATATGCTTTGTGAACAGGCTTATAATCTAGGTAATCTATAACACGAGCAACAAAATGTTGAAAGAATATCAGTGTGTGGACTAATGTTCTGGATCGACAAAGCTGCAGCTTAAACGGGATATTTCTGCTTCAGCCAGTAAGAGCAGGCCAGAAAGCAATAAAATGCCACTCAACCGTTTGTAACTTTATGACATTAAGATCGATTCTTTCGTACATCCGCTCTTTTCGTTTATTACAAAGAAAGTATGATAATGATAAAAGTTATGCCTTAAATGACTCCATAGCAATGTCAATTTCTTTCACGCTAGCTGTTGTTTACTTATTGTAAGCACTAAGAAACACAGCAAGTACGGCTGCAAATCAATGAGAGGTGAAGGACAAGCAGGGACTAATTGAGTTAAAGGGAATTAGTCATCCAGAAGGAAGACTCAAATTCAACCAAAATGCCTCAGTTCCCAGTCTTTTTTGTGCAAAAGTAGTGGAAGTTTTGGGTAGATATTTATACATTTGATAGGTCATTTAAAGTCCCTAACTAATTGGCAGCTCGGAAGAGTTAAAACTGGTTAATCACAGGAGGAAGGACAGATTCAAGAACAATAAGAGTCATTCCATGTACTTAGCTGTTTCATAAGTAGACTGAAGATATGTGAAAGGAAGGACCTACGTACCATCCATGAACCAACCACCATCAGATGATACATATGCCTTAGTGATCACAAGATCCAAATCAGACAGGATTTGCACCATTTCCAGTAGTATCCCTGGTTTGTTCACACTATCAACCTGTCCACATTTTAAACAAACTCTGAATGGGATATTGTGAGAAGAATCGACATTATAGAAACAGCCGATGTATTAATCAATAGTTTACTGGAGACACCATCTCGAAACACAAACTTAGGCATTTATTCCCAATCCTCTATCTTACTTTAGCCCTTAATGCTCTGAATTTTCGCTTGGTATAACAGATGCTTAAATTTCTGTACAATGGATTGCCCTTTTTCTACTTATAGAAATCTGCCTTTTCCTTAAGACATTAATGTCAAGAACTCTAATTTCAATTCTGAAGGGTGGATCCCTCATTCAAGAAAGGGAAGTGGTCTGGAAAACCAAAAGCTTAACGTTTCAGGTACAAGTATATCGGATTTATCACTGTTGTCTCTATTCAACCGGTTACAATATCATTGTCATAATTACTATGACGAAATTCACTACAAGAATTGTGATTGAATCCATTTCTAGTTGGGATTATATTAAAAAGATGCAAAAAGATTAAACGTCAATTTATACAGCTCTAAAAGGACATAATGCGTTTGTTGAAAGAGGGAAAGTAAACCTTAACCACAGTACAGTCCTTGCAGCTAGTGTTGTCAACAGAGACCCTGAAACAAGAATTCCAGATAAAGCCATGAAAATTGACAAAGATTAGCTCCGTTAGATTAATGAAGAGAGTAAGAAGAAGGAACACAAAAGAATCAAAGAAAATCAAAATAAACACCTGGGAGGATTGATTCGGATGCTCAAAGTTTCATACTCAGGATCAAAGTATGGCCATCCATCCCTAGCCATCAAAACTAGCCTCTCCACTTAACACAGATGCTTTGCTGTCCCTTGTCACTACTTCACTCGGCAATTTTATCCAGCCTATCGTCCCAAATTTATACTGCTCCCATGAACTCAAAGCAGAGCAACGAACATTTTAAAGCACAAACAAAAAGGGCATTGCCTTCTTTTTCATAAGATAGAAAGAGAATGGAAAAAATAACAACAATGGCAACAAAATTCTGTTCAACATGTCATATACAGCTTCAATTCAACCAACCGAAAAAAGAAAAAAAAAAAAAAAAAAAGATTTGATTTTGACTTCAAAACTGAAAAGGGTTGCCATCAAACACAGCAATTCAGGAGAAAAATTGTGCCATCTACCACAGTCTAGAGAGAACAAAGATACCATCGTTGGTTTAACATTTCTTCAAATACTTTGTAGCTATAATAACTGAAAAAAGAAAATTTATGATCACTCCCAAATCAGTAGCATAGCAACTGACCTTTTTTTTGTTGGTTTATGCAGGGAAGTTGAAGGCAAACTGCCTGGTAGTTCTCTGCTGCAGAGCAGAATCATTGTAAAACAACTATATATATCCACCACACAACAAAAAAGAAGATACTTGTGTGCATGTCGGATAGAAGAACAAATGGACCCTCTTCGTTTGGTTTGTTTGTTATTGGATTTCTGACGTCGAAAGTTCCATTAATTCATGTTATCTGAAGTTGGCCCCCCTTCATATTCCATGGTTTTCATTCGTTTGGAACACAAACTATATGATGTTTTCTTTTGGTATTGAACTTCAAATCAAACCGTCATTGGATGCAAAGCTTTAAGTATCCTTAATAGGTTTCAAACTGGAGTCCTATTTTCTTACCACATGATGGATAATATACCAATAAAAAGAGGGACAAATTTTCCTCCTTTAATAGTTGCTCGTCTCTTTTTATACCAAAGCTTTAAGTATCCTTTATTTGAGCAGTACTGACATTATGTTTTTTTGAGAGAGCTCTCACAAGAAAATGGGATCTCAATATAATAAATGGCTTAATAGCAAGACATAAGATATTAAAGAATCTCAGTTTGAGGGGAAAAAAATCTACTTGCTCGTTACAGATTACAAAATGGTATTAATCCATTAATCTCATTTTAATGGGAAATTCTATTATATAGTATTTGTTCGACAAAATAGATTATTAATATAGAACAGTATGAGCATTACTCGCTCGGTTACAAAATAAGTGTCATTCTAAAGTTTTCACACAGTTTAAGGAAACATTAAATATGGTAGCTAAATTGTTAGAATATCCTCAACCAACCCCATTAAAATAAATGCTCAGCAATAATATTACTTCTTTTGAAGGTATGTTTGGAAATTTTTGAGAAAAAATGCATTGGAATTTGAAAACAACACTTATTTTGAAATTTCTCTATTTTGCTACAACGACATTTATTTTGGAATGGAGGGAATATTGTTTGTGGGAAATTTTTATAAAAAATTAAAAAAAAAATAAAAACTCAAAAGCAAAATTCAGTGGATACTGATGCAAGAGAATCTAATAAGTTGCAATAAGGTCCACTTGGAAAAAAAGTCAAAAGAAAACGAACGGAAGGGATTCATTTCCACCCAGCACCAAGCATGATGAGACAGAATCTTGTAAAGTGCAAAGCACAAGAGCCTGTTCCAGTTGATATCTGCTAATAGATTCCAGATTAGATCCCATTCAATTCCTGTCAATGACTTCACAAAAACCATTGCTTCATTTTGCTAAGAATGAAGTAGTTGAAAGTGATGCAATATCTCAAGTTATTTCATTTTTTATCTTGCCACAACATGAGATCCTATTTAATAAGTATTTAACTAAGTAATCTATATTCGAATCGGTTCAATTTCTTTGGCTAGATGTTCAAACTTGGACGGTTAAATTATTTTTGAAATGCAAATTCTTTAAACAAGTACTCTAAATTTTAATTATCGTTGTTTTCGGTTAATCTCAAACATAATTTTCAGTTTGTGTTGCAAGATATGCATAAACTGAAATGATGAGCGAAGAAAAAACAAATCATTCGAGACAATTTACTCACAAGTTGGGCAGTTTGGGCAAAAACATGAAACTAACCATCATATAGTCCTACATTTCCTTCTTCCCTCCAAGTGGAGAAAATATTCCCCTTATCTTCCAACAAATTAGGTTCGCGATACTATTTAATTTATCGAACTGGACTATTTTTTAAAGAAGAAAAAGAAGAGGGAGCAGTAGGTTTATCTACAACTCTTACATTATTTCTGATAACTGGTTCTATTATACAACACTCTCATTCTTTCTGCCTGCAAGTTCTACAAATTACAGATTTGAAACAGAAAAGAAGACATAATAGTAATACATCATCAAATTTACAAAGCTGGATCCATCATTTACTGAAATGGGGTGCAAATTGCTCTGCTAAGAGACTGAAGTGATCACTTTCGCCTTCAAGAAGCCGTAAAACCTGCAGGATGTACATCATATCAGAGCACTCAAAAAGTACTAGAAGTAAGCCTGAATAGAGCCAAATGTGGACATAGAATTCTTAGTACATGACCACATAAAATGACAGGAAAATGAGGCATTTTCAGCAGTTATTATTCAAATCAGTGCAAAGATCTCTTGACAGGGAAATGGATGATCAATGCATCAGTGATTAATGGCTAAATTACCTCCCCCATTGACGGGCGCATCTCAGGGTCTGTTTGTACACACAAATAAGCAGCTCTTGCCATGTGGTACAGTTCGTACGTGTCATATGAGTCACGTATACGAGGATCAATAAGCTCATGCAATGCAAGCCTCTGGATCAATGGAATAGCCTAAATCGCACAAAGATATCGTTGAACCACACGGGACAAATGATATTTGCAAGATTGAACTGATACATTGACAAATGATCCTTACCCACTGCCTTAAGGACTGTTGCTGATCCTCTCTATTTGTATCTAAAACTTTGCGCCCTGACATAAGTTGTATCAGGACGATTCCAAATGAATACACATCTGTCCGCACAGAAACAATACCGTTCTCTGCATATTCAGGTGCGAGATAGCTGCATAAACAGTAAGGCCTTGTTGAGTTTTCTCTTCGAAAATAAAACAGCAATATTTTGTACACCTTTGTGTTCCATTTAAAAACCAACTCACCCTAGTGTTCCAAGTATCCTAGTGTGCGCAGAATCATCCAATCTCCATTTTGCAAGGCCAAAGTCGCCCAACTGTTCAAAGGAGGAAAGATAATAAAATTTTGATGTATTGGAAGTAGAAAGAGAATTCGTAAGATGCACTTGAAAAAGTTCAACTCGCAGGTGGGGGAGGGCTATTGTAACCAAGAAGTCTGGATCAAGACCTCATACTAACAAGAAATTTAAAATTAGGGGAAAAGAGGAAATGATCGAGTTGGACAGCATGTCATGGTAGAAGTAAGCTACATCAAAATAATGTAGATTTCTGTGTGCATGCATTTTGTTTAAAGCCATGGACTCAATTGTGCATTCTCAAGTACCTATCAGTCTAAGATCACAGAAATTTTCTACCTTGTGATGTGTTGCCATATTGCAGAATGAAGGAATGCAGTTGGGTTTTGTGAAATTTAGGATACTACAAGAGTATGGACAACAGTACTTCTGTAACTTGAACTTAATCACTTCTATGTTTATTATGAACAAACAATGTTGAAATGTCTGAGGGAGAAGACAAATCGATACAGCTCTGCAGCACGTGAAATAACAGACTAGGTTAATGGTTTCCGGATATCTTTAAGGCAGAGGCTTAGGCTTGGCACTAGACTTTGTAACATAAACACCCTAAAAGAAAAATTGATGTAACTCATGCAACAGGAAAAACTTTGCATGACTAATATACTCCTTCCGAACTTAGAAAGCCGAAGTAAAAATATAGAGTAATGATATTAGTAGCTACAACAAAACTTCACAAAATTTTAGCCGATTATTATAAATACCAAGTAAACCAAAACAGAGAAAGCAACATGATATGCATTGAGTGGCCATGTAGAGTAGCTATGGATTGTAGATTTAAGTATCCTTTTGTATGGAGAATGAGAGATATTTTTCACATTAGTAAGGCTGTTACGAGCATAGGAATATTGCAAAAAGTGAATTGTACTAGGTATCAGAAAACATTTACCATTGGAACAAAGTCATGGGTGAGCAATATATTGCTTGGCCGCAAGTCACGGTGAATAATGGGGCTTCCACGGCATTCCTCATGCAGAAAACGTAACCCTTTCGCTGTTCCGATGGCAATAGCATGTCTTCTGTGCCACTCGAGAACATTGTCTGGACTTTCTGAGTCACCATAACAACATTACATCATAGAACAATTCAAATGTCATGTTTTTGAATAATATATTTGCATATACACACAAAGAGACCAAGCTTGCCTCTTTCATTTGAAACCTAAGGTATCATAAGACAAAAAAAAAACCTTCGGAAATACAATGTGATCCAGTTTAATTTGCCAGAAATACTCACCAAATAGATGCCATTCAAGAGACTTGTTGCAGATGTACTCATAGACTAAGATATTAATGTTCTCCTTGCAACAATATCCCAGAAGCATCACTATATTCTTATGCCGCGCAAAGCTTAGAACATATATTTCAGAATGAAATTCTGCAAACCCTTGCGTACTCGTTTCCTTCCGCACCTTCGCAGCAATGCACTGCCCATCCTTGAGTTCGCCCTTGTATACATGACCATAGCCTCCTTCTCCGATTAAGTTAGACTTTGAAAAGTCGTTCGTGGCAAGCTGTATCTCTGAAAAGCTAAACCTCATTGAATCTTTGATATCTGGCTCAGTTTTCATACCACAACCAGTGCAAAGAACTGGTGCATCAGAGTATCTCAACCAACCAGGCTTTTTCTGTAAATTCTCCATTAATGTTGGAGAATAGAGAAACTTGTTTTCAACTTTAATACACGTGTCTGTGATGAAAGCTGACAAATGAAAGAAGAGAAAAATTCAGCACAGATAGTAAAAGTTAGCGTAGCATAATTAGATGTGAATGAATAAGTAAGCTACGAATTGCAATTGTTCTTGCATCAAAATTTGCAATGGTGAGACTGATTCTGGCTGTAGACACAAGCCTGTTCAACATAGGACAAGTGCTCCTCGACTCAAAATGCATTACGAAGTATGAATACAAACTTATGCCAAATCATCTGTTTCCACTTTAGACACTATACTACTCCCTCCGTCCCAAAATTATTGTCCAGTTTAGATTTTTATTTTTAGTTCATATTGTACTAAAAGTGAAAACCCAAAACGGACAATATTTTTGGGACAGAGGGAGTGTAATATTTTAATTTAAATGAAGAAATTTGGGAACTTTGCAGCCGGTGCTTGGTTGCATTCAAACAGAACAACGTATGGCATAACCTCAGATAGTCTGAATTTGAATAAAGAAGTAAGAACCTAAAGCTATTGATATCATTCATGAACAAGAATCTGCAACTGTTTGTTGCCTAAACTCATGTCCAATTTAGTGAACTCAATTGTACGCATTGAATGTTCTTTTTGCAGCTTGAAGAATATATCTGGTATGACACATGAACTTTAAAAAATGGCAATTAAACTTTTCCTCTATGCAAACTAATTACATAACTAACTCAGCTTATGTGAAACTCAAAGATTCGCAATCTCATTTTCTCTTCAAAAATTTATCTTTTACATGAATGTAATGCTCCACATCTAAGCCTGTCCTCAAGGCAAGAATGACTCTAATCTCCTTTCAGGAGGGGAAAGAACAAAAGGAAAAAAGAGAGCAGAAACTAACTCATTAAAGCTAATGCTGATGCTCATCAGTAATTGTGACAACTATTATATATTTGCTTCTTGGTAAATTTTTGCGGGAGAGAAAAACACAAAGGCGTTACGGATTGAAACAGGCATTTTCGAAGAAAACTCCTGATTAAATCAACTGAAAAGCAAATGTCATCCCTCTACTAACAAATTTCCAATACGTGAGGGTGCGGTAAGAACTAGACTTTTATGTGACTAATCAAAGTCATTTGTGAAATAAGATCAGGAGAATGATAAGGATGAGCAGTGAATGAGATATACTGTTATTACTATTAGAGTTGTGTACTACATGTGAAGTCAATGATGCAAAGTTGATTTTGATAAAAAATTTTACGAGTTTTACCTTGCAAACAGGGAACGACTTCATGATCGGAGGATATATTTTGATCCTGAGGATTGTATCCAAATGCTGGAACCAAGTTGCTTCTCACCATATCAGAGGTTTCCAATGATCGAATGGAGGTAGAGTTGCTTTGGAAGGACATGCCACATAGCTCAGTTCTGTCGTCATTTATAAGAGATGACAAAGGGACATGTTTTGACAAAGAGTAAACCATTTTGTGTTCTACTGTCTCTGTATCAGTAATAGAGAATGGCCTCATGACTGTCAAGGACAAGTTATCTCCAACAACTGCCACCTTGCTAGGTAATTGCTTCAGGTAAAACCTCAAATCTCGTCTTAGATGCCTGCCCAAAAAAATTTGGTAATTTAGGTCATTAACTAGTTAGCACGGAAAACAACAAGCTTCATTATGATGCAAATTTAACTAAAAATATATTCCTTGAACTTATAAGAAAGAAACTAAATGCCTTCTTAAGCATTTCCAGGGAACAAAGTGACTCTACATCATTTTAAACAAATGAAGAAATACAGCGAGACTTTTTTGAAAAGCATCAGATACTTCTGTGACCCAGAATTATGTTATCAGAAAGTCAATTTTAGTCTAATGAGAACAGCTTATCCACAAAACACTAGTGTACTGGCTTTGATGACAAAAGAAGAGCAGCGGAATGAGTGAGACGCTAACCATAGGACAAAACACAAGAAGCCCTATCGCTAGTGTCACGTAAATACTGAAGAGACAAGGCAGGAAATAAGAAGAAAATGTAGCCAGGTAAGTTTAAGCTAGCATAAACAGAATCAACCTGAGACGTATACTAAAACATGTTTTTGCTGGCCTATATGCTCCCATCGCCCAATCAACTTCACACATTAGCAATAAAGCATTTCTGTGTAGCAATGATCAGTGGAAGACAAACCTATCAAGTATGACCCATGCTGCATTGGATGCAACAGCCTCCTGCAAAACAACTTTTCGTATTGGAGTACCAGCAGTGATCTTAACTTCAATGTCAAACTGCAAAACAATGAAAATTTGTATGACAACAGAGAACCACAAAACAGAATGAGAAGCAGAAAAGCTATCCAAAGCCAAATAAGCTGACAAGATGGGAAAAAGAAGGACGAGAGCATTATGAACTTGCTATGATTATTACAATTACTGTCATGTCAGGTTTTGTGTTGTAAATAATGCAATTACCTTTTGGACTTGAAACTGATAGAATCTAGCGCATCATCATAAATCATTTAACCTCCATGATAATGAATTACTTCTCTGGCCAATTTATAATATTTCTGAATTATACAACATTTAAGATAGTCTTACCCCCTCATTTTCGCATTCGTCAGCACATTGTTGAAGCATCTTCACATACAAATCAACCTTCTTGGAGACCACCTCTCCAACCACACGGTCATGTGTTGTTCCAAGGAAGGACTCTGGGCATGCTTGCATTTGATATCCCACTGTTTTAACATAAGAAACTGAGGTAATTACTGCTAAAAACGGGAACAGAACAGCAACTTGTCAAGCTTGGTGGTTTAAACCTTGACACTGGAGAATAGATCACAAGAAAATATCAATCCAGCCTCTGTCACAAACATGTACCTACATTTCAATTGCTATTTATCATGTTTTAGTGTACATTGAAGTCCTTTCGGATAAAAAATTTTCCCCTCATATTAAAATTTTCTGCAGCTCTCAAAATGCTTCACTCCAAATAAAGTTTTTTATGATGTTTCTATTATGCTTAACAACAGGCTTATGGTCACCAAATCAAATACACAGGTACTTGCGGCGACAAAATTAAGCATTGAAGTCCGTAAATTATCTGGTAGCTCAAGATAACGAGCTAAATTGAGTATGAATCCGAATAGAAGTGACTCTATTATCAATGTCACTGTTTTATGGTGCACGAGACTGGGGATGTTTTAGCTTTGGGATATCATTTTCGACATCAACTGAGGTTATTCACCAATTAAAGGATTGAAAGGGAAAAATCTAAGTATTAGCGGCATTTCTCCAGAGCAGAACTATTGAACTGTTAGGCTTAAAAAATATTGCTGATTAACGAAAACTATAAGATCCATTCAACTCTCAAGCTCTTCGCTTTCTTTCAAGACTAAATCATTCTCATTGCTTTCTACATGTATCTCAAAGCTATACTAGGCTCTTATTACAACATGTAACTAGATCCAAAAGATTATAGATATTTCTAGCTAGCTTCCTGAAGAGATATTAAGAACTCTTGCTACCTGAAATTTCAGTAAAGTTATGTAATAATGATAAAACCAAAGTGAACATCTTCTGAACTTGATATAACATTGATATAATCAAGAAAAAATCATGAATGCATCAATGTCCAATTATATGTCACTTGAAACACTACCAACATGAACTTCAAACAGTGAAAACAAAAATGAAAAACAACACAATGAAATTGCCAGAGACTTACTAGGATGTGGCACCTTCTGTAAAACTCCAAGAATAATAATTGTATCCCCTGAATGAAGAATATCACCCCTGGCTTGAATCCCATTAATAGTACGCATAAACTCCAGTTCATTGCTATCTTTTGTAGCATCATAAGCTATAAGAACTTTTGCTGGCATAGGAATGGCAAAATTGGAAGAAGTAGACATTTTTTCTAAATGAATTCCAACCCCCATGAAAGAGCACACTTCTTCCTCTATTTTGCAAATTTGCATCACTTCTTACAGTTACTTATAAAGGGAATTTTTTTTTTTTTTTTTGGGCAGAAGATGAAGAATATGTTGAATTTTTAGAAAAGAGATTGTTGAACCAATCATTGCAACATTTACATACTTTTGATCTTTTTGGAGGGTTCTAACAGCAATTTTTGAGGGGATTGTTTTCTTCAAAGAGAATTTATTCTGGGATATGCTATCCATCAAGGATAATGGAGTTCTGGTGAATTTAATAATGGTAAAATTCACCCGAATACGAACATTCTTGCGATCTTGACAGCCAAATCCTCGGATAATCCGAGGAAAAATGAGGTGTACGATCACAACGTTAGAAGGGTTCAATGTTTCATCACAAGTAGAATATTCCCAGCAGCTTATGTAAAAATAATTGGGATCTGATTTCAAACCCTTCAAAATTTTCATAAAGAATTTATTGGGTTTCTTTGGAATTCAATCGGTTGAGCTAATTAGGCCTTAAAAATGGGAATCTTAATGTAAAAATGCTTTCTTGGTGATGAACATACATGGAAAGTGGCTATGGCTATTGATTACAATAGACCAATATACAGTTAAGCTTGCAGAATTATCAAATAGATGAATCGAACCAAAGTGTAATCAGTGGGTATTAATAACATCGTTTTCCATGGAAAATCAAAACAATACATTTTACTATACAAATTTCGTCGAGAATTCTGGATATGGAAGTTTAGTTCCATTTCCATATCCTTAAATTTGAAGAATGTGAAGTAGTCTTTTCTAGACTGGAACATCAGGAGGGTAATCCTGAGGATGTCTCCTGATTGTTTCTCTCAGTGATTTCTCTTGTTCTCGAAGGTTAGACGGGAAATCCTCGTAAACATCAGTAAATAGCTGTTCTAGCGGAGGTTTCTCTGTTCTGTCTGCTAACTGAATTGCTTGTAACACCTGCAGCAGAGTAGAGGGATGAAAGAATCATCAAGATTAAGCCTTGATGGCGATTTATATAAGCACAAACACTACCAAGGATCGACGAAAATGTATGTAAATCAAAACCTGTTTCCTGATGTCTCCGCGGAGTTGGGATTCGGCTTCATCACTCCACCAGCCATTTCTCTGTACCCATTTTCTATATCTTGCAATGGGGCTCCTAGCTGTTTTCCAATGCTCAATTTCATTCACTGTTCGATATTTGGTTGAATCATCAGATGTTGAATGATGTCCAACTCGATATGTTAGAGCCTACAGTGAGTAATCACAAAGGAATGTCGAATGTTAGCATTAACAAGTCGTGGTAGACAGTGTAGCATTTCGTTAACCTAGCTCAGATAGAGCGAACGAGAAGTATGTTTCTTATACCTCCACTAATATTGGTTTTTTCTCGCTAATCGCCATTTTCCTTGCTGTACTTATGGCACCGTAAACCGCTAAAGCGTCATTTCCATCCACGCGTATACTTCTAATGCCATATGCTTGACCTCTGACCACGATGCCATCACCTGTGAAGTAGATTATAAGATTTTTGGAATGTTGAAAGTAAAAGTCCTAATAGATGGTGATAATGTATGGCAATTACTTCTGAATTGTTCTGTTGTAGGAGTGCTGATAGCCCATCCATTGTTTCGGCATATGAAGACTACTGGAACTTCCATAACTGCTGCAAAGTTCAAAGCAGCATGAAAATCCCCCTGCCACAAATTGGAATAAGGTCCATGTTAGCTCAGAACATTATCTCCAGCATCTTAAGATAAGAAATTAAAGATGACAGAAGTTATTCACTTTTACCACAAGGAAAATCATTTGAGGATGAATGTCAACACACATTATCTAATGAACTTACGGAAACTCTATCATTACCTCACTAGTTCCACCATCTCCAGTGTAAGCGACAACACAAGCCTCTTTCTTGTCCATCTTCAGGGAATAAGCTGCTCCAGCTGCCTGAGGTAGCTGTGTTCTGAGGAACAGGAAATGGCAAAGATCGAATGAGATAACCAAAATGGTTTATTATGGCGGCAAACAAAAATACATTAGGTTGATTAAGGTACTTACGCTATTGGTGATGATATGGTCATGTAATTGTGCTTTTTAGAGCCATAATGTATTGGCATTTGTCTGCCTTTTCCATAGTCTTGTTTATTCCCAAAGCACTGGTTGGCAAATTCTTGCAAGGTGAATCCGCGCCATAGTAGAACTCCAGGTTCTCGATACTGCAACACATTAGAATGACAGCAACTTTCATTAATTTACACTCTACATTAATTTCATCTTCCACGCTTATGATTTCTTAATTGACAGCAACTTACGCGCTTACCTGTGGTAACACAACATCATCAGGCATTAGCGCTGCTGCTGATGCGATACCAATGGCCTCTTCACCACTGGAAGTAAGATAGAAGCTTATTCTTCCCTGTCTCTGTGCTTCATAAAATATGTTGTCCATTGTTTGAATGGTAACCATTCCCGTGTACATTTTCACTGCAACTTCTTTGCTCACCTGGCACATGTTAATGCACAACAACAGATGTATCGTGTCAGTACTTCATGAATAAAGTTTACTTTTCAGAACAAGCCAATTCCATTTTCCCTCTAATCATTTTTTCTTATTTTCTGAAGCTTCCACATAGAAAATCAGAATCCTGAGTGCCATTGTAATAGTAGAACAACTAAAACACAGAAGGCCAAATATGTAGAGAAGACAACTGATGTAGTTATTATACCTGCTCAATTTCGCTGCCTCGGATAATGTATCCATCATCATCAAGGACACGATAGCATGGTACCCTTTTTGCAGATGACTCAGAGATGAAACTTTTCTGAGGTGTAAATGTAACTCTTCCACCCGGAAAATCTAGACCCTGATGAATTCACAAGCAACCAAATAAAAGGTGAAGCCAAACTCTCAACCTTGCAGCACCTCATATATCTCATTTCCCTAATCCAGAACTATATTCATTTTCACTGTAAAAGATGAAGCTGTGAAACTTCCAGGCTGAATTTTCTATCACAAGTCACAACACTCATCCAGTTTTTCGCTTTTCGTTAAAGCTCTCATATCCAAGAACAACAAAACACATTACTGCCTTAGCAACTCATCCAGTGAGACAATCCTCGGGAATTTTCTTTTTGCATTTTCATGTTCATGAATGGCTTATGCATCCAGGAGTTTCACTTTTCTTTTTCTTTTTCTTTTTTTTAATACATGTATATGTGCTGGGAAATACTAAGACTTGTTACAATCTTGTTGAATCACAGCCACATTTTCAGCCAATCGTTTAAAAATATTCTTTTGATCATCTCAAAGTTTTTAGCGTTGTCCAAAGTTGTTCTTCAGCTAAGACATATTCATACTGTTCAAGGTTGTGACATCTTTCTAGTAAATCTTAAATGAATCATGTGCATCAGATTACTGAAATGAGATCAAATAACATTAACAAATTACGATGAGTTTTAAATAAGGAAAGTCAACCATTCAACAACAACATTCACAGCTTCCATTTATTGCCAGATCGGATGTACGGAATCAATTAAGATTTTGATGATATATATTGACAAAGTCCAAGCAACTGTTTCTCTTTGAATTTAAAGAGCTCTAATGGCAATATAACTAGCTATTTGGAAATCTTCGTACAAGATACTACGAAAAACTCTATTCATCTTAATTTTCTGTCTATCGCGGATCTTAGTAACATTTTTCACCTTCTCTCGGTGATAGGGCAAAGTTCAAACTGGCTAAGTAGTAATTTAACGTACTATGCATTTGCTGTTTGAACAAAATACTCCCTCCAGTCATTATTATAAAGTATTTAAATTTGTTCAAAATTTTATTTAGTATATTTTTTTAATTAAACATAAAATTTAACAAATTGTATTTTCACAGTAATTGTGTTAGTCCAACTATTATAAAATAATTTTCAGGTTTTATTTTCAAATGAAAGAACATATTACATGAAAATTGGGACGAATCAAATACTGTATTATAAGGATCAGAGGAATAATAGGAAATTTGGGTTATATCCTAAGAGGTAGTATATATTTATGAAAAATCTATATACCGTATATATGAAAATCTTGACAGGGTGTAAAGTATATAAACTTTTGTCTTTTTGGTTCCATATCGAATTTTAGTATATTTCAACTGTGTTGTCCCATAAAAAAAAAAAAAAAAAAAGTCGCAAAAAAGAAATTAAATGAAAATATTTCATTAAACGGGACATGTTCGTATCTCACTAGTGTACGTGTCAATCCTAGGTAGTTCAAAAATAATACTGCTACTAAATGGTTGTGGAAAAGAGAAGAAATTCCTGGAATTGAATTATTGTGTACAGACAAATAAACGTAAGATATGGACTGAAGTATCATCATCAGAACGTACCAAAACAAAAGGAGTGGGGAGCTGAAGGAAGACACGTTTTGTAAGGCCATATCTATCAACTTCATCAATCATCGTTATCTCATAAGGTCTCTATCCCCAAATCGCGAGTTCTTTTTACCTTTATTTAATTTATTATAGTACTTTTTTTTCCATTCTATTCTATCCCTAACTCCTAAGATACGATTTTAACAATTAAATTCTTTCATAAATATCACAAGGAAGAATTACAAAATGATGAAGATAATGAAAAAATTTGCGAATGATATAAATCAATAAATGTGATCCTTCATGGCTCATGGCTACTTCTCACGGTCTCACAGGGTTATTGCCAACTTGCCGTCAGTTATATTAAAAGTTTCTTACATTTCAGGCAACCCTATTTATTTTGCTCTCCAAACTAAGGAAAGAAAAGAAACAATTTAATGAGATACATTTTTATCTGTATCAATATATTAGTTATTGCCTTCGTCCTAAAAAAATAGTCCACTTGATTTAGATTTTTGTATTATTTTTAATACAAATTTAAAAACTCGATATGAATTATTTTTTTAAGACGGAAGTAGTATTTTCTTAAAACCAGTATATTATTATAACTCTTATACAAAAGGGAGGGGTTGGGAGGGGTCAAAGAAGTCCACATGGAGTATTTGCCCTGTTCAAGAAGGTAAGCTTAAAAGTCCAATGTTTTATTTAGTACCATGTTAATGTCTATCCATTAATTGCCAAATGTACCTATACATGTAGATATGGGTTGGTCCTTATCTCTCAAGTTGGCTGGCCGAATTTCCTTTTTCACTTTCTTGCATTCATGTCTCTCATCGGTGGCAGATCTTTTTTAGTTGCTTGACAAAGAGCTATCAGGTGGATTGATTTTTTGCCATAAATTTTGTCACATTCTACTTCATAAATTGATTTTCTGTACTAAAAATGGTTACTAGAATTTGGATTATACTAGTATTTTTTAACCCCTAAAAAAAAAAATCACATTTAGTACAAAACGTAAAACTCAATATGAACTATTTTAATTTTCAGTTAACTATATGATTTACCAGTATTTACAAACGATACAAGGATCATAACAAAAATAGCAAATGATGCGTGGACCTAATAATACACAAAACGTGTCACACCACAATTATTTTCACCTGTTAATACATAATTTTTCAGAAAGTGAAAAGTAACAATAAAAAAAGGAATATTGACTAACAGAAAGATAAAATAATCGACTGCACTCTAAATAACGGATCATTTACGCAAGAATAATTTTTGTAATAATTATACAAATGTCACATGTGTGACTACTCCATTTTATTATCGTAAATATCATTTCCTTTCAGATAAGAAGAGTTCAATAAAATTAGTGCATGGTTTTCTTCCTCTAAATATTTTCCGGATTCTCTCAATTCAAATGGCAAAATTCTGGCAGGAGAGAGACACGTGTAACCAACGGGCCTAATATTTTGTGCCTATCCTGAGCCACACTCCCTAATTCAATTGCCATCAACATCCCCCTCAAAATGGAATGGGACCAGTTGCCCCCCAAAAACTCAGGAACTGTTTGATTCAATTGTTGAAACAAACAAAAAGAAAATGAATGGTCTCTTGATTGAATTGGGATGGAGGTAGAAATCAAAATGTGTCCAACAAAAAATTTTTTTTAAAGAAAATTAAATAAAATAAAAATTAGCATCTTGGACATTAATGACTTCCTTAACCTCTGTTTTCGACTGGATTAACGTTATCTAAGAATGCCGGTTTGGCGACTCATGATGTTTATTTGATAAGAAGTGAGTACTACTAATTAACAGTGTACGAACCTCGGTGATGTCATCATCATGATGATCATCTTCATCGGAGGAGGAAGAGGAAGGGAAGAACTGGACTTGTTCGCCTGATTTTATGGACTTGAAACGGCCACCTCTTGGACCAACCAAAATGGTGTCGCCGGCTTCTAATTTTCCACCACAAAATCCCGCCGCCGGAATCATCCTCGACTGAAAAACCGACGACACTTTGCTCCTTCCATCAAGAATTGCAGAGAAAAGAATCCTTTTCTCAAGGAGTCTTCTTGATTTCGAGATCAAATGCGCCATTTGTTTGAGAGTGTGTGATTAAAAAGAAAGTTGGGAAAAAAAAAGGACAAATTTTTTGATGAGATTTTTTTTTTTTGTGGGTGTGTTTACGTACTTGGTAGGTAGTTAATATTTGTAGTAGCTGAGGGTTCGTGATAATTAATGAAGATGGATGGGAAGCTGTACTTTTGGATACATGTATATATATTCAATGTTCTCTTCAGTTGTAGACTACGTTCTTTTAGACAAGTAGTGATCAGTTTTTATCTCCTACATATGAAATGTGATTCTGACGTGAATCATCTCATTTACTTTCTTTTGGCTTCTTTTTTAGGAAATTCCAGTTCACCGTAAAATTAATTTTCAGCCGTCGTATTCAAGAGGAGAGGCTCCATTGAATTTGGGTCGTTGAATATGATTCTACGAAATCAAGCAAGCAAAGGTTGTCGCTTGACCATATATAGAGAGAGAGAAACAAAATGGACGGGTAGCGATTCATGTGGCATTTTGAAAAAGAAAAAAAGATGAAATAATTTCTTTAACGTTGTAGTAATTTTGTTTTTTTTTTCATCGTTTATTATTTCGATTCACTATAGAAAGTGTTACTTATCATATTATCTTGCAAAAAGTATATAATCTTGTGAATTTATATCAATGTTGATTAGAAACGTCTTTTGTCTATAAAAAAAGCCCGTCTAGCCAAGTAAAATTGAGTCTCGATCAGATATATTCTTGCGTATAACATCTAAAATTGGGAATTGGGCGGGTAGGACGAGTAATGACCAGGTATTTACTAGACGGAAAATTATTGGGTTTGGGATTCTAGCTACCCAGTAATTTACACATATTGAGTTTGGGTAGGGATTGGGACACATTGAGTTTGGGTAGAAATTGAGAAATGGATAGGATCAATAGGATACTTTATTTTATTTTTATTTCTGACTTATTTTTTTTGATATATATGATAATATTTTTTTCCCTATTTGTCTTTTTTGTCTTTCTTGTTTTGATATCCATGCCTCACCGTTTCAAAAAAAAAAAAAAACCCTATGTCTCCAAAATAAAACTACTCTCTCCATTTGTCTTTAATTCGGGCTAACCCTACTTATAAATATCATGACCAGTTTTTAAGCCATGGGAAAGGCGAGTTAAGGACGTTGATCCCAGTTTACTTATACTTAATCATGTTGACGGACTTAATTATTTTGTAATCTTCCCTATTTAGTTTAACATTTCCTGAATTAGTCTATGTCCCTCTCCTTAGTTGTGGTATCAGAGCCATGAGTAGACTTGTAACTACTGAATCTTATTCCAACTACCACTTTTAATATTCAAATGAATTTAATTCAGAAAATAAGAAGATTGTTAAAAATAGTCTAAAGCAAGAATATGATATTCCTGTAAGTTTAGAAGAACTTAATAAATGGACAATTCCAAAGATTGAATTGAAGACTATATATTAGTTAGGCACTTTTGAAAAATTAGGTTTGAAACAAGTTGTTAAAACAACTGAAGAATCCATTTCTTTAGATAATGAGGAAATAGATATCAAATTATTGCAATCAGATGATATTAATAGATATTGTCAATTGTATAAATTTATTCATATTGGTTTGGTACAGATTGCTTTTAAACCATTAACTTTAGAAGGGTTACCAGAAAACTTTATAGTTTGTTTACGAGATGCTAGAAATTTGGATTGAAAACAATCATTAATGGGAATAATACAATCTAGCTTGGGACATGGGCCAGTTTATTTTAATGTCTATCCAAATCTTTCATTATCTTTAAGTGATGTCAATATCCTTGATGCATTGACTTTGAATGTTAAAACTCATGGATATAATTATATGACTGGATCAGAATTGATTTGTATGTGTTATAGAATTTATTATAAACCTTTAATGACTTTAAATTCCAATTGTAAATTAATTGATAAAAATTTAAATGAGACAGTTTTAATTGAAACTAATTTCAATAAATCAAAGATTACCACTAGAAGATCAATTAAGTGGGATGAAATACCTATTTCGGAACAATGGATTATAGAAAGAACTTATAATATCCAGTCACAAACAAATATAGAAGTAAGTTCTATTGAACAAACTCCTGAAAGACATGTTTATATACAAATGAGGAATAATCCATTCCTATTGAATAATAACAGATCTCATAGATCTGGATTATCTCGATCATATTCAACTCATTATATTTCACCTCTAATAGAGAATAAAGATTTTATTCCTAGTCGTGCTTCTACCTCATATAGTGAACATCCTTATCATGTTTCTACTTCACAGATTGGCGAACGTGATGAGAATAATCGTCATGTTAATAAATTGGTAAAAAATAAAGAAAATATAGTTAAAGATGTTTATAACACCAAAGATGAAGAAATAACTGAGTCAGAAATGGCATTTTCAATATGAATAAGATAGATTTTAGCCTAGGTTCTTTGGCTAGACATCAAGTCAAAGAAGAATTTAATCTTCCAAGATGTGAACCATTTAGAAAGTGGTTTTTCCCATATTTCTCTTTAGAAATGCAAAAATTTATTTCGGATGAATATTATAAATTTTTATCATATCATAATGTTTTATTTCCTTTTGTACCATGGTTTATATCTGTTTATGTTGAACCACATATATGTGTATTAGAAAGAGATTATAAACTCTTGAATGGAAATATGCTAAAAGCAATATTTCCTCCACAACTACCTTTTAAAATAGAAAATGAAAATAATGTTGTTATGAGTTTCTCTGCATATACAAAATTATTTGAAGATGAAACTTTGGTTATAACTGTAAAACAGATAAATAAGATAATAGAACAAAATAATTATACAAATGTTTATTTAAACATTTTAGGGGAACAAATCTTATCTATACAAAGTAGGTTAGACAAATTGATACATTTGGTAGAAAATAATAGAGACACTAGTCATGCTAGTAGTTCTAGCAATAATAGAGTAGATGTTGTTGCAGCACCAACTCTTCAAACACCACCTGAAATATAAAATCTTTATCAGAATTAGAAAAACTACTAGATACTAAATTCAAAGATTTAAAAACCAATACTCTAGAAGAAGAATTCTCAGGACGATTAGAAGGGAATAAGGATTATAAAACTATAATAGATGATGAGATTAATAAAATGAATAAATATGTTGATAAGCCTACTCAAAGATTATATTATTATAATAGACATTCTCCTGCAGATATCTTACATGAAGAGCAGGAATACATACTGAATAATAGTTACAGTGAAAAATGTATTTATGAATGGAATATAGATGGTTACACTGAAAAGCAAATTTATAATATGGCTCATAGAATGTTAATATATAGTACTATTTGTAAAACAAATGGTAATAATGATGTAGGTATTGCAAAAAAGATAGTTGCAGGATTTACTGGCCAACTAAAAGGTTGGTGGGACCATTATTTGTCTCCACAAAATAAAGAAGAAATTTATAGGACGGTTAAACAAGAAGGATCTCAGGTTGTAGAAAATGCAGTTTATACACTAATTGTTACTATATTAGAACATTTTACAGGAAGAATTTCTTATAATAGTGAAAATATTCGTACTTTATTACAGAATTTAAAATGTAAAACATTATCTGATTTTAGATGGTATAGAGATGATATTCTTAATAGAGTTATGAAATCACATGATAGTAATAGTGTTCATTGAAAATCTAAATTTATAGATGGATTACCAACTTTATTTGCAGAAAGAGTTAGGAGAGTCTTAAGAAAAGATAGAACAAATATTCCTTATGAAGATTATACTTATGGGAAGTTAATAGGAACTTGTATTCAAGAAGGTTTAGCCTTATGTAATGAGATAAAATTGAATCAACAGATTAAAAGACAAAGATTGACTGAAAGAAAACAATTAGGTCAGTTTTGTTGTCAATTTGGGATGGAAATTCCATCAGAAAAAAGAATGATAAAAAAATTTCAAAAAAGATGATAAGTATTATAAGAAAAAGAAGAGAAAATATTCTCAAGAAAAATTAAATAAAAGAGCAATAAGGAAAATGAAAAGACTTGAGAATAAGAAAGATAGAGCTAATATAATTTGTTATAAATGTAAACAGCCAGAACATTTTGCAAATAAATGCAAAATGAAGAAAAGAATAAATAGTTTAGATATTAGCCAGGAAATTAAAAATGAATTAATTAATTTGTTAAATTCAAAATCTGAATCAGAAAGCTCAGATGAGGCTGAAATAGATCAGTTAAGTTATACATCAGAAAGTTCAGAAGATGAAATTGAGTGTTGTGATCCTTGTAAGGGAACTAATAGTTGTAGAAAAGAAATGAATGATGAAAATGAAGAATTTTATAAAATTATATCTCAATTTAGAGAATCAGACATTAGTGTTTTAACTAGTAATAATATTCTGAATTCTTGAGATCAATAAAAGATCAAGAGTTAAGATCAAAGATAATTGAACAAGTTAGTGATATTCCAACTAGTAGTAATGATGAATCATTAGAAATAGATAATAATCCAGATACAATGGATAAAGTATATAAAATGCTCAAAGAAAAATCTAATAGGATAGAAAAATCTCCTACCATGGTAAGTGATTTAGGAGTAGAGATTAATAATCTCAAAGAAGAAATAAAAATTCTGAAAAATCTTAATAAGAGTTCAGATGATAGAGTTTCTAATTTAGAAAATAAGAAACAAGTAGATTCTTATAAGAATATATTAATAAGTGAAACGGGAAATGAGAATTTCTTAGGATCTTTAGATTTAATCACTTCTTTTAAATTTCATGTTATTATTAAATTATTAATAGATCATAATTATCAAATAGAACTAGTAGCATTAATTGATAGTGGTGCTGATGTTAATGTCATACAAGAAGGAATAATTCCTACTAAATATTTTGAAAAAAACTACTCATGTACTAAGAGATGCTGGTGGGAAAGCATTAGACATAAATTATAAATTGTCTAAAGGATATATTTGTAATAATCAAGTTTGTATTCCTGAAAGTTTTT